GAGAGAAATAATAAAAATAAGAGCTGAAATCAATGAAATAGAAACCAAAAAAACCATACAAAGAATTAATGAAACAAAAAGTTGGTTCTTTGAAAAAATAAACAAGATCGATAGACCCCTGGCAAACCTGACTAAAATGAGGAGAGAAAAAACCCAAATTAGTAGAATCAGGAATGCAAAAGGGGAGATAACAACAAACACCATGGAAGTCCAGGAAATCATCAGAGACTACTTTGAGAACCTATATTCAAATAAATTTGAAAATCTTAAAGAAATGGACAGATTTCTAGATACATATGATCATCCAAAACTGAACCAAGAGGAAATTAATCACCTGAATAGACCTATAACACAAAATGAAATTGAAGCAGCAATCAAGAGTCTCCCCAAAAAGAAAAGTCCAGGACCTGATGGATTCTCTGCTGAATTCTATCAGACCTTTAAAGAAGAACTGATACCAACCCTCCTTAAACTGTTCCATGAAATAGAAAGGGAAGGAAAACTGCCAAACACATTTTATGAAGCCAGTATTACACTTATCCCAAAACCAGGCAAAGACACCTCCAAAAAGGAGAACTATAGGCCAATCTCCTTAATGAACATTGATGCAAAAATCCTCAACAAAATAATGGCAAACCGAATTCAACAACACATCAAAAAGATTATTCACCACCAAGTAGGCTTCATCCCAGGATGCAGGGGTGGTTCAACATACGAAAATCAATAAATGTAATAAACCACATTAACAGAAGCAAAGACAAAAACCACTTGATCATCTCAATAGATGCAGAAAAAGCCTTTGATAAGATCCAACATCATTTCATGATAAAAGCTCTAAGAAAACTAGGAATAGAAGGAAAGTACCTCAACATTATAAAAGCTATATATGACAAACCTACAGCCAGCATTATACTTAATGGAGAAAAACTGAAACCATTCCCTCTAAAATCAGGAACCAGACAAGGATGCCCACTATCTCCACTCCTATTCAACATAGTACTGGAATTCCTAGCCAGAGCAATTAGGCAAGAAGAAGGAATAAAAGGAATACAAATAGGTAAAGAAACTGTCAAAATATCCCTATTTGCAGATGACATGATCCTATACCTTAAAGACCCAAAAAACTCTACTCAGAAGCTTCTAGACATCATCAATAGCTATAGCAAGGTAGCAGGATATAAAATCAACATAGAAAAATCATTAGCATTTCTATACACTAACAATGAGCAAACTGAAAAAGAATGTATGAAAACAATTCCATTTACAATAGCCTCAAAAAAATCAAATACCTAGGTGTAAACCTAACAAAAGATGTGAAAGACCTCTACAAGGAAAACTATACACTTCTGAAGAAAGAGATTGAGGAAGACTATAGAAAGTGGAGAGATCTCCCATGCTCATGGATTGGTAGAATCAACATAGTAAAAATGTCGATACTCCCAAAAGTAATCTACATGTTTAATGCAATTCCCATCAAAATTCCAATGACATTCATTAAAGAGATTGAAAAATCTACTGTAAATTTATATGGAAACACAAGAGGCCACGAATAGCCAAGGCAATACTCAGTCAAAAGAACAATGCAGGAGGTATCACAATACCTGACTTCAAACTATATTACAAAGCAATAACAATAAAAACAGCATGGTACTGGCACAAAAACAGACATGAAGACCAGTGGAACAGAATAGAGGACCCAGATATGAAGCCACACAACTATAACCAACTTGTCTTTGACAAAGGAGCTAAAAATATACGATGGAGAAATAGCAGCCTCTTCAACAAAAACTGCTGGGAAAACTGGTTAGCAGTCTGCAAAAAACTGAAACTAGATCCATGTATATCACCCTATACCAAGATTAACTCAAAATGGATCAAGGATCTTAATATCAGACCCAAACTCTAAAGTTGATACAGGAAAGAGTAGGAAATACTCTGGAGTTAGTAGGTATAGGTAAGAACTTTCTCAATGAAACCCCAGCAGCACAGCAACTAAGAGATAGCATAGATAAATGGGACCTCATAAAACTAAAAAGCTTCTGTTCATCAAAAGAAATGGTCTCTAAACTGAAGAGAACACCCACAGAGTGGGAGAAAATATTTGCCAGCTATACATCAGACAAAGGACTGATAACCAGAATATATAGGGAACTTAAAAAACTAAATTCTCCCAAAACTAATGAACCAATAAAGAAATGGGCAAGTGAACTAAACAGAACTTTCTCAAAAGAAGAAATTCAAATGGCCAAAAACACATGAAAAAATGCTCACCATCTCTAGCAATAAAGGAAATGCAAATTAAAACCACACTAAGATTCCACCTCACCCCTGTTAGAATAGCCATCATTAGCAACACCACCAACAACAGGTGTTGGCGAGGATGCGGGGAAAAAGGAACCCTCTTACACTGTTGGTGGGAATGTAAACTAGTACAACCACTCTGGAAAAAAATTTGGAGGCTACTTAAAAAGCTAGACATTGATCTACCATTTGATCCAGCAATACCACTCTTGGGGATATACCCAAAAGACTGTGACACAGGTTACTCCAGAGGCACCTGCACACCCATGTTTATTGCAGCACTATTCACAATAGCCAAGTTATGGAAACAGCCAAGATGCCCCACCACTGACGAATGGATTAAGAAAATGTGGTATCTATACACAATGGAATTTTATGCAGCCATGAAGAAGAACGAAATGTTATCATTTGCTGGTAAGTGGATGGAATTGGAGAACATCATTCTGAGTGAGGTTAGCCTGGCCCAAAAGACCAAAAATTGTATGTTCTCCCTCATTTGTGGACATTATTTCAAGGGCAAACACAACAAGGGTATTGGACTTTGAGCACATGATAAAAGCGAGAGCACACAAGGGAGGGGTGAGGATAGGTAAGACACCTAAAAAACTAGCTAGCATTTGTTGCCCTTAATGCAGAGAAACTAAAGCAGATACCTTAAAGCAACTGAGGCCAATAGGAAAAGGAGACCAGGAACTAGAGAAAAGGTTAGATTAAAAAGAATTAACCTAGAAGGTAACACAGGAAATTAATGTGACTCAACTCCCTGTATAGCTATCTTAATCTCAACCAGCAAAAACCCTTGTTCCTTCCTATTATTGCTTATACTCTCTGTACAACAAAATTAGAAATAAGGGCAAAATAGTTTCTGCTGGGTATTGAGGGGGTGGGGGGAGAGGGAGGGAGAAGAGTGGGTGGTAAGGGAGGGGGTGGGGGCAGGGGGGAGAAATGACCCAAGCCTTTTATGCACATATGAATAATAAAAAAAAAAAAAGAAAATTGGGTCTGAAATCATGTCTGATCTTGATTTCAGAATGGTAGCTTACTGTGAGCAAGTTCCTTAATCTTTCTGAGGGTCAAATGTAACACTGGTAATAATATCCACTCATCAGTTTGTTATAGGATAAAACAAGATAGTGCTTATGAAGTGGTTAGCATAGAAGCAGATGTGAATAATGTCAAATATTATACTTATTGTTATTATGAAAAACAACAAAAGCTCATTAGTTCATTCATTCATTCATTCAAAAGCAGTACATTTGAATCTTCCTGGGTTCCAGTCACCATGCTTGGCAGGTGGTCTAAGATGTTCTTGCCCATCAAAAGAGGAAGGAAATGAAGATGACATATTTGAGTTCCACATGGCTGAGGCAGGAGTAAGAAAAGACTTCTGAACCCTATTTTAAATTTGATTTGGCAGGCAAGATTGGAGAGTGTCCCTGGGTTTAAAATGACCATGACTAGCTTGTTTTGTTGATGTTGCTGTAGTTGTAGTACTGAGGTTTGAACTCAAAGCCTCACACTTGCTGCAAGGCAGGTGCACTACCACTTGAGCTGCATGCACAGACACGCTTCTTTATGAGTGGGCCTGGCCCTAATCCTCCTATTTAAGTTTCTGTGTAGCTAGGATGACAGGCATGAGTCCTCAGTCCTCACTTATTGGTTGAGATGGGTTCTGGCTAACTTTTTTTGCCCTGAATGTTCTGGAACTGTGATCTTCCAAATCTCTGCCTCTTGAGTAGCTAGAGTTACAGGCATGAGCCACTATGCCTGGCTCAGCTTCTTTACTTGATATCACACCTATTCCTAAATCTGTGGGAGAAAAATTACCAAATTACCCACTTGAAGGCCATGTGCATGTGCTCTGACTCAACTTTTCTCAAGAGACAAGATGACTTAGCTATGTGAGAGCAGAAAGACCTTGGTTAAAATGATGAGGAGCAAATCAGCGATCACACTGAGAAGTTGTTACTCTGGTTCACTAGCTTGTGTGAGTCCATTGTTAAATGAACACAGTATAGTAATATACACCATACAGAACACTTGTGGTACTTAAAAAGATAAGTGGGATCTGGCAGAGTGGCTCAAGTGGTAGAGTGCCTGCCTAGCATTTGTGAGGTCCTGAGTTCTAACCCCAGTAACACAGACACACAGACACACACAGACACACACGCACAAGAGATGTAGGAACATGCTGAGCAGGTAGCAAGTTCTGGCTCACAGATAGCTGTTATTAATAATACTGGGTGAGGTGTTTTGTTTTGTTTTGTTTTGTTTTAGATCAAGAATTTAGGGCCAGCCAGGGATATTCCCAAAGAAAAATTTCCAAAGAAGGATGAAGAAGAGGAGGAGGAGAAGGAGGAAAGATCTGCAGTAAATAAAATAAACTCTCACTTGTTAAATTGGGATGGTAGGTGCAAGTATGTCTGGTATATTGTGTTCTTTTGAACACATTAGCCCTTCAACTGTGTGAAGACACAGTCAAAGCCTAGTACATTAGAAGAAGAATCAAGTCCTTTCACACACTGAATTTCCTGGGGCCTGATCTTGAGCTTTCAAGCCTCCAAACTTTGAGAAATAAAGTTCTGCTGTTTATACATGACCTCATCTAGGTATTTTGTTACAGTAGCAGAAATGGACCTCCCCCACAGAAATGCCTTCATCTTTCCCTTCTATCATATGGGCAAGACTCCCTTCTGCATATGGGAGTCTTGGCTGATGGTTTTCATTTTGCATATATCAACCACTGCCTTCTGGGTGCAAGACTTCTGATGAGAAATCAGAGGAGAACCTTTTGGGAAAATGACAGTGAAGCCCTCTTTCTCCCAGGCTCACGTATGTTAATAATATGCCCATGGTGTCTTAGGGACAAAGCATTTTGGTATGGTATCACCATGTGCATAAAGGGTACCATTGTTTGGACACTAATCCAAACACTCTGGGTTTTAAGAGAAAGGAATTGAATATCCTGAGTGTAGATAGAATGAGATGTATAAAATTACATTTTTAAGAAATTTTCAGATTTGCAATGAGAAGCCACTGAATCATGATACTGACTTTAATTTTTTGTGAGTAAATGAGAGTCTCTATTACCAAGCTATGGCAAGAACTTTTGGAGTCTCCTAAAATTAAAAAGCAAAAGCTATTTGCGGCCCAACCGCTGTTCTGTGTACCCAGTTCTGATTGGTCGATTTCTTGCTCTGACCTCAGAAGGACCCATTGTGATGGAATAATAACTGCGTGTATATAAGGAGGTGGCCTGGGCTGGATTTTTGCTCATATTATGCAGGGAGCTGGTTTGGTGACCTGCTAGAGTGTGTTCACAGTCTTAGCGTTGGTGTTTGTTCATTGTTCTTTGTTGTGGTGGTTTTGTGTTTTAGTTAGCTTTGTTCCAATGAGTGGTGACTGTCCTAAGGGCTGACTGGCCTCTTGGTTAGCTCCACTAAGGATGTCCTGACCTCTCGCTATCAGGTCACAAGGAACATCGGTAGAGGCAGCTTCGGCTTGTAAAATTAGCCTTTCATCGTGACACAGGGACTGATGTCGCTGTGAAAGTGCTGAAGAAAGGAACATTTAATGCTTCCATCAAAAGTGAGGTGTCCATTTTGAAGACGCTGCAGCATCCCAACATTGCTCGTCTCATCGAGGTGAAGGAAACAGTCGAGAGGGTTTATCTCATCCTTGAATACGCAAGTCGGGGGACCCTGCTACGGTATGTTCGAAAGTCCCACCACCTGCAGGAGACCCAGGCCCGTGAATTTTTCAGACAAATTTGTTGGGGATTGGCTTATTGTCACCAGCAGGGTGTCGCACACCTCGACATTAAGCCCAATAACATTTTATTGGATTCCACCTACACAATCAAAATCTGTGATTTCGGAATGAGCACCAGGTTCACGGTAGGAGAGCAGCTGTGTCAGGCAGGCGGCGCTTGGTCACACCGTGCGCCTGAAATGTTTCTTTATTGTAAGTACCATGGCCCCAAGGCCGATGCCTGGAGCTTGGGAGTAGTACTGTACTTCATGACTGTGGGAGGTTCCCCTTTCAGGGCAGAAACTTTCAAGGAGCTTCGCAAGAATATCCTGTGTGCAAAGTACCACCTTCCAAGGCGTGTTTCTGCTGAGTTAAAAAACATCCTAGGTCGTCTGTTGACCCGTGACTCCAGCCAGAGGGCCACGGTGGAGGAGATCCTGGAGCATGCCTGGGCCCACCAAGATGCTCCCAGTCCTCCTGTCCAGACCCTGGCTGCATCCCTGAACCCTGCCATATTATCGGCTATGGTTGCCATAGGCTATGACGCTAGAGAAATTGTACGATCACTACAAAATAGAGAAATAAATGACACCACTGCCATGTACCTTTTGTTTGAACAGCGGGCACGCCAGGATTCTAATTGCCCTATGGAACTTGATTCTATACAACCAGTAGTTCCACCTTGCCCGTCTCCTGCAAGTCTTTCCACCCGTCCCGAGACACTAAGGAGGAGAGCCAGCGCACCTGCAAGCCTTAGCTCTTTCTCCTTCTCAATCCTAACATGGAAATTGAATCTGCCCCAGAATGACCACAACTCAGGAAAGAATGGCAGCAAAAGAATCTTCCTGACCACCAGTCCCCTCTTCACCCCGCAGAGGAGAAGCCCAAACGCCAGCAGAGTCCCCCCACATGCTTGCGTGGAACTCAAAGGAGGCAAGTCATCTGAGCATAAGTGCTCTGCACAAAATGCCCTTCCAGTTGGGCAGCCCCAGGAGGTGATCAGAGGTGCTGAACGCAACAGGAGCAGGGGCTGGAGAGGAGCCGCCAGGAGGATAGTCACCACCCTTCTCAGAATGTGCTGTTTTCCTTCCTGTTCAAACGAATGCCACCGAGGAGGGCAAGCGGATGGTAATGGAGAGCAAGAGGACCTTACCACAGCCTTGAGGAGGGGGATCCCTCCTAGGTGTGGACTGAAATAGTGACAATTGGAGGGGCTGGACAGAAGTTCAGCTAGCCGGTGTCCAGCAAGCCCCAGAACTCACACACTCCGGCGCCAGGTATGCCCAGCAAAGGCATCCAACCCACCTGGGGAAAACTGCAGAAACGAAAAAGGTAGGTGCCCCAAAGTGAGACACCCACTGTACGGGGACCCAACCCTGATGGTCCATTTTGTTCTGTGACCTCAGAAGGAGTCACTGTAAAGGAGTGTATAATGAAGTGGCCTTGGTTCCATTTTTGTTCACATGGTGCAGGAAGCTCTTGCTTGGTGACCTACTAGACACACAGAGCTAGTGTGTTTGTGCTTTTGGTGTTTGGCTTTTAGTTTTGCTTATTTTTCTTGGTTATTTTATGTTTTGTTGTTTGATTTGTTTTTTTTTTTTTTTTTTTTTTTTCCGTTTTTTAGTTAGCTTGAATCCTCGACTCCACACTCTGATTTCTGCAAATATCACAGGAATTTCAAAATCATAATGAAAAGCATTTTGCGGTTTCCCAAAAAGGAACCTCACAAAGTGAAACTCAAAGTGGTTTTCTGGCTAGTATTTATTTAGCAAAACAGAATAAAGTAGGGAGGAAAATAGAATTGGAAAGAGGGGAAGGTCCTGCTGATATGCAGGATTTGGGAGCAGAGAAGTTCCAATAGTATTCTCATCATGCTTTTTTGCTTGGCCAAGGACTAGCTGATTCACACAGTGGTCCTTTAAAAACATTTCTCTCCCATCCATGCAAAACAGATTTGCTTTTGTTTTAATAAAAACACCTCAGAAGCATTTCCTGTATAATATTCCTTCAAAAGAGTTGAGATGTTCTGTGGCATCTCTGGTGTCCTGAGATCAAAATAAGCGTCATGTCTTACTTAACACAGAAGCATCAGCCACCCAGTCCTGGGAAGACGGTATTCCAGGGCCAGGCCGAGTGCCTGGACTCACAAATCTACTCAGAGGACGACTGTGGTAGCCATAGGAACATCCAGTAGTGAAGATGCAAATGATTCTGTGAAGTGAACTGAGATTACATTTTGAGGCTGGGAGGTGCTCTCAGAATTAAAGGAAATTGAACACTGGGAAGCAGACTTATTGGGAAGGAAGACTGGAGAAAGCTAGATGATGGGTTCAATGTTTGAAAGAAGCATAAGTTCTAGTGTTCTAGGGTACTGTAAGGCAAATGTAACTATCATGCATGCATTGTAGATCAAATTATCTAGAAGAGAGCACTCTGAATACTTATCACAGAATGATAAATGTTGAAGGTGATGGATACGGTAATTACCTGAGTAAATCCTTATCCAATGTATACATGAATCAAAACCTCACACTTTATTGTACCTAGTTTAAATGTAAAATTATTATGTTTCGGTCAAAAAATAAGAAAAAAGTAGATTTACAAAGTAATACGTTGGAGGGTGAGTGTCAAGAAAAGAAGAGAGTTTACAAGGAATGAATACAACACCAATGTTCTGAATTACATTTCTCATTCAATCCAATTGAGTGTGGTGTATTAGAAAACACAGACCAGGGTGTCAGGTCATTTGTATTTTAGCCCTGTGACTAATTTGAAGGCAAGTCCCTTAGTGCTTTTAGGTATTTAGTGTTTCCTTCTGTCAAATGAGGGAGCTGGGTTAACCAGTTGCTCTGTAAGCTTCCCTGTGCCACTAATACTGTGCTATCCACTTCTGTCTCTTACTTAACTTTCCTTAGTTTTCATACATTTCATGGTCTTATGGCTTATACTTAGCTTTCTCCAGTTGAGTAACGGTGTGTTATGTGGGGGTGCTGGCATAGTGGGTCACTCTTGTAATCCCAGCTACTCAGGAGGCAGTCCAATGCTGGCCCAGGCAAAAGCTCAGGTCCTTATCTGAAAAAAGAAGAAAAAAAAAAAAGGCAAAAAGGATAGTGGTGTGGTTCAAATTGTAGAGTGCTTCCCATCAAGCATGAGGCCCTGAGTTCAATCCCAGTATTACCAAAAAAATGAAAAGAATTTAAAATTTTTAAAGAATTGTTATTTTTTTAAAAAAAGTCTACTAATTTCTACTTTTTTCTTTTTTGACAGTACTGGGGTTTGAATTCGGGGCTTTGCACTTGATAGACCCTCTAGCACTTGAGCTACTTTACATATCCTTGAGTTGTTTTTAATAGAAATATTTTGCTCAACCATTTATATTGTCCTATCACTCGTTGAAATGTAGTTTTTTCATTGGTTTTGTTGTCCTTTCCCTTGTTCTTAACCAGAATGAAGTTAAAAATGATAACTTTTTTTTTGAGGCACTGGAGTTTGAACCCAGCACCTTACATGTGCTAGGCAGGTGCTCTACCATTTGAGCTATTCTACCAACCATTTTTCATGATGGGTGTTTTCAAAAAAGCACCTCAAGAACTATTTGCCAGGGGCTGCCTTTGAAATGTGATGTTCCCAATCTCTGCCTCCTGACTTGCTAGGATTAGAGGCATGAGCCACCTTGCAGGCAAGAATGAGAATTTGTAAAATGTTCATTAGTAGTTAGCCTGTGCACTTGATGTCTTTCCCATATAGAGCTGTAATTTAGGGTGCTATTAGTGTTTGTGACTATAAGTAACCTTAGCATGTCTCACATGGTCTTATTTGTCAACAGCTTTTTGAAACATGTTTAGGAAATATATCTTAGAAAAGAAAGCCTTCAGTTCTGTAAAGAGAGAATTGGTTTGTCAGCGGGAGGTTCAATTTCACCAGCCTTAAAAGCTCTGATTTGAATGCCCTGCCAGGCAGACAGATGAGGGACAGCGTGCCACGGTCATATAGAAAGAAGAGGTAACTCGCTGTTCATGAAAAAAAGGTTGGCCGTTATTTTCATAATGGGTAGAAGATGAAAAGTGGTTTATGAATTAACTAAGAGTGATGTCAGAGGCGGGAGAAACTTTGCGTTTCCAAGGCATCGCATATTGGGGTCCTCTTCTACCTGCCATCTTGAGTGGACTTCCCCCCACCCCGGCGCTTTTCAATGATCGAAGTGTCTTTCTGAGCAGCAGCTTCTGGAACCAGCGGCTTCGTGGCAGGCGGAGTGGGACCCCCGGCAAGGCGGCCAAGTCCAGGTACGTGGGTGGTTTCGCTCTTTTCTCCCGGTGTTGTGAGGGCCACTGCGACAGACCCTGGTTCCGCTGTCATTGGCAACCAGGGCGGGGTGGGCGGGGTCGGCCGCCCCACGCGCCTGAGCACTGGTGACGTCACGCGCGCGCCAGCCGCGAAGTGTGGTGGGCGGGGCGGCGCCGAGTGATGTGGTTCGCGGGGCGGGTCTCGGCGCTCAGCTACTTGGCTGTTCCGGCTCCTCCCCCTTCTCGCCGTCGCCTGGGTCCCGCCAAAATGCGGGAGTAGGTGGCAGCGGACCTGCGGACCCGGTTCCTGGGGGAGTCTGTGGAGAACCTGAACAAGTCCCAGCTGAAGATGGGCATCTGGGGCGGGAAGCGCGAGGGCGCGGGGCCGCCGACACCCGGCCCGCCAGGCCGTCCGGTGACAGCCACGGGCTCCGGAGGAGGCGGGAGCGCGCCCGCGCCACCTCGTCCTCTCCCCGCGTCTCTGCCCACCCGCGATCGGCGCTCAGTAAAGCGGCTCCCAAGAAAAGGAAAGGAAATGGCCTTTCTCACTCATCTTCGCCAGCATCTTACAGCAGGTAGGACCTGGCTTCCTCTTCTGAAGGGCCTGGGAGGGACAGGCAGGGAAGATATCTTAAAAAGTACCGAAGTGGCTCTGTTTTTTTCACAGTTTCACTCTATGCGAATGGACGAGGGCGTGACTTTTGGGTGTTGGTTGCCTCTGTTTTTAGTCGCAGTTTTGGATTAAGCTTTTTGTGTTCTGTTAAGAACATTGACCCAGGGAGTCAGGAGACGCGGGTTTTATTAGAACTGTCACAAAGTAGTTGTAGCACCTTGGACAAACCACCTCATCACTTTAGACTTCATTTCCTTGTATAAAGTGAGGGAAGGTTAGATTGAAGATCTGTATGGTGCCCAGTGGTGGTAAAATGCACCTTCTGAGTTTCTTTTCTGTTTTGAAAAGAGTAGATTTTTAAAAGTCCTGAAATGACCATTTTGCAGTGCCATCTCTTGCATATGTTTTCCCCTGCAGCACTGTCCTTCCTTCTGGTAGTGCTCCTGACATAAGCCCTTGACGCTGCTTTCCTTTTTGCTTAGGCCTGTGTTGTGCTAATTTAGAAACCCTTTTCATTTTTGGATTTTTTTTCTACATCTCTTAAAATACAGAGATCAAAAGTGGAATCTACAAATACACAGGCCACTCAAGGCTGGTTCTGATTCTTCTTTGCTATTGGTATTTTAATCCCAAAGGAAGTAAATTTACTGAGTTTAAGTCCTGTACCCTTTCTGTTCTGCTGTTTGGAAGAGAGTGTGATGTTCTGAATACAGCATGAGCATTGAGGATTGGAGTGCTGACTCTGCCACTTACTAGGTCGCCATAGTATTCTTAGGCCAGTCATTTAACCTCATTAAGTCTCAGTTTCTCTTTTGTAGTAAAGATGTCCTTGCTGCTGCCCAAGAGGCTGTGAGAATCTAGTCATGTAATAGAGCTGAAAATGTTTTCTAAATACAAGTTTATTTTTATTTACTTTTTGCTGGAGAGTATGCTAGCAAGACCTCTCCCACTTGAACTATGTCCCAACCGTTTTGGGTTTTTTTTTTTGTTTTTTGTTTTTTGAGATAGGGTCTCCCTAAACTTTGCCAGGGCAAGCCTCAAATTTTTGTTCCTACCTCCCAGGTAGGATCCTGTCTCCCAAGTAGCTGGGATTATAGGTGTGCATACAACACTTGGCCTAAGTTTACATTCTTATTGTAGTTGCTTCCACTCCACTCCAGCATTAAATGCATTCTAAATCAGTTAAGTCATATTGATTGAGTACCTGCTATGAGGAAAAGAAGTAAGGAGTTCACGGTGAGGTTGGGATATATACAAGGTTAAGTGATAAGTACTGGTAAAGGTACAGCATAAACTGCTGTGGAAATTTGAAGAGATTATTTCTCGTGGAGGTGTTTGACATCACTACATTTCTTGTGTTCGTTTTGGAGGTTCTTTTGTTTAAAAGGCATTCTTGGACTTAGGCAGCCATGTTACATGTCAGTTCCATTTGATACATAAATACATTAACTTGTTTGTTTTCTGTGAGTTAGAAACTATTACTTTCTCCTTTTTCTTTTTAAGATGATTCTAACCCTTGTTGATTCTAACCCTTGTTGTCATTTTGTAATTTAATGGGATTTACAATCATTTCCAACTTCTGGCTTATTAACACAGATTATAGGTAAATTTTTTTTTTTTTTTGATGGACTGGGATTTGAACACGGCTTCATCCTGCAAAGCAGACCCTCCTTGAGCCACCCCTCCAGTCCATTTGTTCTGGTTATTTTAGGAATGGAGTCTTGTGAACTGTTTGCCTAGACTGACTTGAACCACGATCTTCCTGATCTCAGCCTCCCAAGTAGCTAGGATTA